CTAGTAGCTTCTTGTTCCTAGTAGTACGGCCAGGAGCCCCTAGTAGCTTCTTGTTCCGAGTAGTACGGCCAGGAGCCCCTAGTAGCTTCTTGTTCCTAGTAGTAAGGCCAGGAGCCCCTAGTAGCGTCCTTGCTCCTAGTAGCGATGCCCTTTGCTCCTAGTAGTAAGGGCAGGAGCCCCTAGGGTCCTTGTTCCTAGTAGTACGGCTATTTTTGAAAGAGCTCAGTCTTTCTGACCAATGACAATCCACCACGCCTACTTACACCCTATTGCAGGAGGCCTCGGATTCGTGGAAGGCCTCTTTGATGGATATGTTCTCAAATGGAGAACCATTTGCTTCGCCCATCCCACCACATCAGCTCCACCCCTTCCTGGCAAGTCGCCTGGACGGTCGGTCACGCCACGCTGGTCAGCTCGCCGTGGTTTGGGCGTCAGCACAGGCTGGACGGTCGTAGGCAGCCTTCTGCCAGAGATCAATGACGGTTCTCTCAGTTCTATCATGTTATCATGTTCTATCGGATTTGTTTCTTACATGTACATTCAGGCTCACTAACATGGAAACGGAAACCACCCTGTTCCTAATTCAGTCGGACATGCATACAATACAACTCATTGAGACTCATTGATCTATGTGGACTATGACTTCCCCAAGGGATCCAAGGGCCCTGAACTCGCTATTCCAAGTGTGGGGGGATTCATCCAAAGACTGACAACTTTGAGTGTGCTTGCCAAACCCATTGCGGCCGTTTGGGGATGAATGAACATCCATGAATCTCCAGCCCCTCTTGATACTCGCATTCCCGCGCTCAACTGCCACAACGCTCAGGCAATTCTCCTGGTCAAATGATGGATGTCTATCCTGTTACTATGTATAGGATTTCCAGCCGGCTCTTGTGGCGGAAAACCCACAGCCAAGCCAAGCCTCATAAAATGGGAAATCGGAAACACAGTCAAAGCTGTCTTTAGTTTTCTTAATCCATGCACACACACAACCCTAATCTGAAACTCAGTGCACGTGCCTCCATCATCCTGTCCAAGATGAGGTGCAGCTCCGGCCCAGCAACCAGGCGCCAGCAGCGCGCATAGCCAGGCATCAAGACCTTCCTTTGCTCCGGCAGTGGAGATCCCAGCGACCCAACAAATCCACCACCCTGTGTTGCACATGCATGTATAGACCAACCAGGAGAATAGGATGGTTGCTTAAAAACTATTAACTATGTTCAAGACCCAACTGGCCTGAGTTGTAAATCTCGTTTTGGAAAGGTTACTAACTACTAACCACTACCCTATCTTTGCACTGTTCAAACCATTGAACATACAACCAAGCCCTCTGGGGTCATCCAATGGCTCCTAGCAGGTAGAAATTGACAAAAATGCTCCCGAAATCTCACAAACATAGTCGAATAATACTATGTTTCAATGGCAATATGTTGTGTATCGACTCAATATACATGTGGCTCCTCACCGAACAATAGTCAAGGTCCAAGAATCCAACTTGAACTTCAAGATCCTCAAGTCACGTCATGAAGGAAGTGCAGTAAGCTCTCTCGTTGCTCAGCGGGAATTCCCAGCTTGGGGTCGTTCAGGGCTTCGTTCAAGGTCTCCTCAGTTGGCACGGAGCATGGCCTGAGACGTTGCTCAAGGATTTCCACGTTGCTCGTGGCTCAAAAATAGAACATCGTTGCTCAAGAATAGGATGGATGTATTTGTTGAGGATGTGTGTTTCTATCTGTTCCTGAACTAACCAAAAAAACGTATGTATATATATATATGCACTATATAATAATAGTTGTATATATATATATACTATAAATATACTTCATATTGTAATACTGTGTACACCATGAAATGACAGTACTCCATAACTGCCAAGAAGTGCAATACTCACATCAGTTTGGACCTTGGGATTGTTCAACTATATTTCTGGAACTTCTACCTGTTGCCCCAAGTGCACCAGCCAACACCTCGTACTTCCTCACGGTATTTGCGAATGTTTTTCACATGGGAAATGGCAGTGACTAATAAACTAAGCCACTTGTCTCAGTGAGTTTGTTGGGGAGTCTTCTTGGAAGGCACTAAAACTAGTCTTCCCTAAAAGGCATACTATGTATCATGCAAAAATGTGCTCTATGATACCAATTGGGCGGGCACTATATGTGTTGCACCCCAGTTCCCAAGGTGTGTATCACTCGAATTCGAGTCTCATAGTGTCTCATGTATCCTGCAATCCTAGCGATCCGAGGCACCCCAAGAACTCCAACCTCCTGTGGCAGGCCTCAAAGGAAACCCCTTGCCTCTCTGCGTCACGAGAACTGTTGCACTGTTGCACCACTGGTCATTCTCACATGCGATTTCGCCCAATGCCCGAGGCAATTCAGCTAAAAGGCCACGGGGATATCACCTTCCATTTGTAGATGGTCAAAGAGCGTCTCCAAGGCTTGCAACTCTTCCTCGCTCAAGCCCTCCTGGACGGACACAGGGCATACATTGGCCCTGTATAGGGAGATGGAATGAATAAAATCAGTGGCATATATTGGACTGGAGTATATACAGGTCTGATATACCCCAAATATCATGCTATATATATTATAATACAATTAGAATGTATATCATATGACATGCAAACGGAGGGACCCTTACCCAACCTCCCCCAAAAGGCAAACCATCTACTATGAGATTATCACCAGATGTTGATAGATTTTGCGTGGAACACATTCTTCGCCAATGTCTGATTCCTGAGTGGCGAACCCCAGCACCTCCACGTCCCTGCCCGAAGTCCCTGCGCAGCTTTCTATCAACCTGCCAGAGGCACTCCTTGGCTTCTAGGGGTGAAATCTACCAGGGTTGATTCTACCATCATATAATGCTACAATATGCCACAGTCACAGACTTGGGATCCAAACTCACCCAATGGTCCACGGCGAGAATCTCCGATGCTCCGTGCCCAGAATCTTGACCCCCAATGGTTCAAATCAAAAATCACCCTGTGGTGGGTCAAACTGACCAGAATCATCTGCGAAAACAACACCATGATCAAGGTCTACAGTTACAGTAGGTCTACAAGCCAATGAATCGCAGAAACAAGGTCTTCCCTCGTTTTCTCGCATGCAGAAACACGCCCTCATGTCCTGTGATGTGTCCCATCCATGTCAGTGCAGTTTGAAAAGCACCCCAGTGCGAACCACGAATCGGATCCTCTTGAAAGAAGTCCATCCATTCATCACGGGTGTAGCCACTTGCCTGGGGTGTAGAACGAAGAGAACAAAGAAAACACTCAGAAAAAAATGCTCTACGGTCGGGGCTTGTGTCATTTGCAGGACAAGTAAATTACTCAGAGTCTCGCGACCCAAAACAGATTCGATAGCACAAAAAGGACTGCTCATTACTCATTTAAGACACCATTTTTCTAGACAACACGGTTTCCACCCGGTCCTGTGTCTTATCCAAACGGTCCGATGACACAGAACACGTCCGATTCATCTCACCAACATTTAATTTGGGGGTTTCAGTCCGAGCCGTCCTCAGCCGTACAAACCAAGTGGAAACATGGATGACATACTCACAAGAACGCCTTTGGAAACCTTCACAAACGACTGACTGGTGCGACTCGTAGGGAATAAGGGAATGAGCCCCCAATAGAGATTCTATTGGATCCAGCCACCCTCATTCCCTGCGAGACGCACCAGTCAGACGAATCTGGCAGTTATATCATGTTATATCCGCCGACCCAGAGAACTGATGGGGGAGCTGGAGCTGGAGAACACGATCACCCCATCCGGAGGAAGACAGGGAAGAGAAGAAGGATGCACGATCACCTCTGGTTAAGCAAAAAATCCAAGTCTTCAGTCTTCCTGCTTTCTCAATGTTGCGAGGTCCTGTGTTGTTTTGTGGTTGGTGGGGTACACACCAGACCCGAAGCGTCCCCCAAGTACGTCAGCTTCTCCGTGAACCGGATCCTTCCGGATGCTAAACCAAACTGATGGAAGTGCACGTCTGAGATGGAACATCCAGGTGCCAATGTTAAGGCCACCTGCTCAGGTTGTTCTTATTGGGAAGTCCACCTGCTGAGGTTGGACATTGTTGGGCAATTTGTTGTTGGAACATCAAGGGCACCTGCTTAACATCAAGAGCAATCTTTTGGGGAAGGGGCACCTGCTCAACATTCCATGGCAGCTGATACCCTGTTGGGACGCTCAATTTACCAGAACCACAAAGCAAAATTTTATGATTGTTCCCTGCAGAACAGTTGTTGGGTCATGATTTCAAAGTTCTAACTTCTAGCGTTTTCAGAACATGTTTGGATGCAGTGCAAACTTGTCAAAGAAAGCACATGACATGGATTGACATGGTGTAGAAACCGGACAATGAATTAACGCCCAGTTGGCCAGCAAAATGAGTAAGTTCTTCGACACCCCCTGGTGCCAGCGCTCGCCTCTTCCTCGTCATCTCCCTGCGAGCCCTCGGCAGCCGGTAATGCTCTGCAAGGCAATGGTCTTACACTTGCTTATTATGTACGTTGAAAATGGTTGGCCTACAGGCCAGCAGAACAAGATTGATTGACGGAGAAAACTGGAAAATCGTTTGTGATCGTACCTATGAGGTCATACAAATACTGGTTGTTACTAAGAAGGCCTACTAACTCAACATAGTATAAAATGTAGATACTACTCAGTATAACATAAATATATATATATAGCATGGTTCTGATCACTACAACCTCAAAATGTCACCCAAATAATCAATTCATGATTTGTCTGCCACCGGCCCGGAACCCAGGTTCTTGATGCCCAACGTCAGCAAATCCCTGTGAACTCACCGCTGAGCATCTCAAAGTCTTCAAACTGTTTAGCAAAAGCCATGGCCAATGTCGGACAGATGGGGTGGCACAATAGAACCTTTCTCAAGAGAAAACAAAGGGGCATGATGGGAGGGCGAGTCCTTATACATCGCAGCAAAAACGACATCAACAATTACACTGGAGAGTTTCCCCGAATCATTGGTGGGTCTTTCCGCTGTCTGACTCGCCATCAGCTTTTCAACACAAGGCACTACCTCCTCGTGCTCCTCACTGGCATGCACCTGGGGCTGGCTGGGTAGCACGTCGGACTCAATGGGATGCTCCATACTCAGCAAACAACACGAGCCGTTGAAAACGGACACACCTAGTACCCTCGCGGTGTCATTCTCCCGTCTGAGTACTTCCAGGGGTCCTCGAGTTCAGTGACTGCCACAGCCCTGGAAGTAAAAGACCATGTCTAAAATGGTTGATCTGTTTTTGTAGTGTAGGAATGTGTAGAATCCTTTAGTAAAACCATGGATGTTCGGTAAAGGCTATTAACTAAATTGTGGTTCGACTTCTAGGGTCAGTAAATGACATTACTTACCAAAGTGCCGTTCTCCAGTCTGGGTGTTTAAAGAGATCGTCAATTTCAGTGGCAAATGAAGTCCCTCACGGGAAATCCAAAATTGATCCGCTGCAAATCCTTCAAGGTGATCTTCTCACTGTCATCTTGACTTCTTAGAGTCCGGTTTGTGATCCTTTTTCGTTCTAAACTATCACACACTTACATATAGACTGCTGACCGCCTTTTTCATGGTTGTGGCTTTTTCAGGTCCAGTTGACATGACGTTCAGGTCAAAAGACCGTGGAAGACCGTGGTGTGGAAGACGAGGACAGGGCCCGGCAAGGCCGGAAGAAGACCGTGTCCGTGTCGTACTTTTCGGTGCCAAGATCTCATGGCCAAGTGCCTACTCTCAAAAGGCTGATACTGTTGTCTCTGATGATATATATATATATATATAGTTAATATATATATATAAAGAATTGCTTGCACCCTTTTTTTCAGTTCGCTCTGCAGCAAGTTG